GGGTGGGGGTGATGCCCCGCATGGCTATAGGGGGAGCTAGAGTATCCGTGCATGCACGTAGTCGTACCTAACCTCGACGCGTCTCGAAGAAGTTACCATCCTATCCACCTTCCATCTCCACTGACGCGCTTTCATCGCGAACTTCGCTGCCGTTCATTTTCGCACACTTTGCAACATGCAACCGAACTATCAGGCACGGGGATATAATTATCCGCAACAGCACAATGCAGCTACGCCATCCCGGCGACCAGGTAAGTACCCATTGCCAACCACAGCTTCCCCAACACGCCCCATCGCACCGACCGCCTGCGCATACCTTCCGTAAAAGACGATGATTAGTAGGAACGACCTCGCTCACTTGTTTCGCAACCCAGGCCCCATTGTCCACGCTCCGCACCCGGCTGCGCAACCGCAGTACAACAACGCCAACATGCAGGCTTCGCAGCGCGCCGAAGCTGAACGCCGCGAGAAGATGCGTCGAATCGCGAAGAACCCGACCGACAAGAACATTCCCGAGGGCGTAGAAGACGTGTGCATCGGCGACGCCGTAGCCCGCTACAAAGAATTGCGCGAGGTCGAGCGCACGCTGGATGCGACCATGATGCGCAAGAAGCTGGATGTCATGGACTCAAAACACCATTCGCGCGCATCGCGCTACGGCACCATGCGCATATGGATATCAAACACCGCCGAGAACCAGCCTTGGCAGAGCACCGGCCTCGACGCAGACGCTTTCGATTTTGACGGCGAGAACAACGCGACATACCGCGTGAAGATCCAAGGCCGCCTGCTCGACGAGGACGGCGACGAAGGACTTGAGGAGGATGAGGACGAGGAGAAGGACGCCGATGCTATGTATGTCGACCTTCTACTTGCGGCGGCGCCAGTTCGAGCGCCTGCTGGTCGGATTTTACCGCATACAGCAAAACTGACTAGCGTCTAGGGATGAAGACGGAGCCGAGAAAAAGCCAGCCGCGAAGCCAAAGCAGTTCTCACACTACTTCACGTCCATCAACATCGATTTCGACCGCGCCAAGAGCTTACAACCCGACAACTTTACGCAAATCGAATGGAAACGACCCGAGAACCCCACTGCGAAGGAGGCCAACTTCAGCGAACTCGAGTTCGAGCGCAAGGGCGACGAAAACATCAACATCACGATCAACCTGCAGCGGTACCAAAACCCCGAAGTCTTCCGACTGAGCAAACCTCTCGCCGAGCTGCTTGACACCGATGAGGAGGATCGCGCTGGTGTCCTCATGGGCATCTGGGAATACGCGAGGTCGCAACACCTACAACAAGAAGACGATGAGCGCAAGTTTGCGTGCGATGCGAGGCTGAAGGCCCTGTTCGGTGGCCAGGACCACTTCTTCTTCCCGAATCTGCCCCAACTCATCAAGCAACACCTCACAACTCTCCCACCAATCCAACTACAATACACGATCCGTGTGGACAAGGATTACATCTCGCCCGCTGCCGACTCCGGCAAGACCCCCTCCGAACCGACCGTATACGACGTCCAGGTAGCACTCGAGGACCCGATGCAGCCGCTGTTCCAAGACATCCTCCGCCGACCAGATAGCTTACAAACCCTGCAAGAGATTCAGAAGATCGATGAGCAGCTTGTGCTGTTGATGGGTGCTATTGGTCAGTCGAAGGCGAAACACGCCTTCTTCACAAGCATGTCCAAGGACCCTGTGGCCTTCTTCAAGCGCTGGCTGTCCAGCCAGAAGCGCGACCTCGAAGTGCTACTCGGCGAGGCTACACGAGGTGGCGGCGAAGACGTGTCTGGCGACGAATGGCGACGAGGAGGAGCCGATGGTGTATGGGGCAGTGAAGTCGCAAAGGAGAGCGTGGCCTTGTGGCTCGCCAGGTCCAGCATCAAGCCTCATTAGGTAGAGGCCTTGGAAACTCAGGACTTGGAAACCGAGGCCTTGAAAAACTAGGAGCTTGATTCCTTGCTGCTTTATTGGTTTTCTTGTTAGGTCGTAGGAGTTTACGCTCGTGTTATGGAGAGCCGGGTGAAAAGACGGCGTTCATATTCGATACCCAACGATTAGTTCCTTCCCCAGCTTGAACAAGCGATGTGACATGACGCAATGTGGTTTAGTTTTGGCCGGAAGCAGCTACTGGGTTAGTCATCGATCTCCCTGTGCACCTTCCAGATGCCACAGTGATGTTCTGTCACTGGTACCTCTGAAGCACACCACAACTCAGCACCCTCATATAGTGCTGCCCATGTGTGCGTTTAGCATCGTCGATATACTGCTGCCAGTTCACAGCATGGTGTCACCCGCTCAGTTGCGGTTTTCCCTCCTGTCAAATGCGAAACCGGAAGGCAAATTGCATGACAATAGATATTGGCGGCTTTGTCGAAGCAGATCGGAGGCATGCGCGCCCGCTGGAGCCCATGTTGAGATACTGCGAGGCTGAAGTACGGCGATATTCGAATTGTCCAATGAGAAGCCTCCAGCTCTTCTCAGCCTTGTGCCATGCCACATGCAGACCTCTTCACATCACCTCAATCACACCACAGAATTATCCTGCAGACCGCATCTTCCAGGCCGTCCACTTTGGGTGCATGATTGGGTCGCCTGGCCACCGGTGCCAAGGGAAATCAGTATGCCGCCGATTGTGTGCACTGCTTTGCACTAGAAGTCCCAGTTCCTTGTCCGCATAGTATTATTATAAGTCCGATTACTCTACCATGATAATTTGAAGTACTTCCGATTTCGAAGCAGGCGACAATGCCTCGACACCCTAAACTCGTGGCTCTCACAATAGTCAACTTCATCTTGTTCGTAAGCATCGCATTGGCTGTATATAGCATCATTTCTTCTTCACGGAGTTGTTCTAAACGGGAAGCGTCTCCCTTCTATATTATTTTCGTTGTCGTGTTATTATTCGTTGTCGTGCTTTTATTCGTGGTAGTAATTGTTCTTGCTGCATTGCATGTATTGGTCTTAAACGACGGGAAGCTTATCAAAGACGACGAGCCAAGTCCTGCGAGATATCCCCAGAATCTGAACGAGCTCTCGATGTGCCACGCACACAGCCCAGAAAAAGAATCATCTTGAGTCCAAAGCAAGTCCTGGGGCTGGACGACGAAGCATATCTAAGCGGATTACCAGATCATGAACGTAAGTCCTACAGTGCACAAATTCCACTCTAGCAGTATTGACAGCAACATTTCTAGTGCGTAATAACGCATCACACGTCACTGTCTTCCCTGCCACTGGATTAACTCGGTATGATCACAAAATACCAGACCTTCGTAAGGAATACGGTGTCAATCCTTTCGACGTGGAGTACCAACCCAATCCCGTAATATTCTCTCATCTAAAACCATATTCTTCATCGCTACGGCCCTTGCTATCCGAATACGCCGATTCGAGCTACGAGAGATCTTTGAGCGATAGCGAAACCATTCGTACTCCTTCACTCGTAGAGTCTTCTTCGTCGTCGAGTAACAACACCATCAACCCAAGCATCCTCTCGGAGTCCGGATCAAGCCGAACATCAATCGATAGTCGATCCATCGACTTCATATCAAAAAAGCAGGACGATACTTCTCACGAGTAAGTCAAGATCCTGGAACCTCGGCGCGTAAGCTAAATTAAGCAGGCAAGCACCGCACCTTTTGTGGAAGGCCAATGAGGGCCCTAGGACACCAAGCCCAAATTACTCATTATACGGAAACCAAGATGATTTCCTCCAGGTTCTTACTGTCTCAAGCCCTGCGGTATCTTTGTCATATTTGAATGACGAACATGCAAATCTTGAAGAGGACCCGTCGTACACTGTATGCAGCAAGCCATCTACGGCTGCGCCTCCACCTGTACCTGTACCTGTTACATCGTCAACCGCCTCCGCACCAACACCAATCATCATCGAAGATGAGACAAGGCGACTACTATACGCATGTCCAAACTGCCCCAGGAGATTCCACACGCAAGGTCTAATGAGGTAACACGCGTCCTCATCCCTACCCACCCCTCCTCTGACCTCTACCTAGAAACCACTACAACCGTACACACAACCTCCGCTATACATGCAACCTATGCAACGGCATCTCCTTCGGCCTAGCAGCAGACCTAAAGCGTCATAAGAAACATGTGCATCAGCAAGGCATCGACGGTGACGAGATATACCGATGTACTATCCCAGGCTGCTCCACACCCACCAAGGTCTTCAGACGGAAAGACAACTTTAACAGACACATCAAGCGGTGTCGCAAACGGATTGGAAAGGGAAAGGGTAAAGAGCGTGCAGAACCTGAAGTTAAGGAAGAACAAGGTCCGAGGGAAGCGCATATGAAGAGTAGGAATATGGGTATTTAACGTTTCGCGCACAATTATCGAATACAACATCCATCCCCAGCATAACCTCCACTCATAAGATCTCATAGCGGCGACAGCAGCGGCGGCACATAGCGTTGCCCATAGCCCATGCATTCAGCGTCCCGACATCTCTATACCCACACATCCAAATGTACAACAGCGCGACTCTCCTCTTCAGAAGAAGTGGAAAAGTCGACGCCTCATCTGTCCCTTCTCTTCTCTTGCCTTCCTCAATCTATACCCTAATCTCGTTCTTCGTTCGTTGTGCTTACGGGGCAACAGCTGGCCCATGTGTCCTTCGATCTCTCTTATGGAAAAATAACAAATGCCTACAACGCCCGTTTCGCGCACACCTCTTTTTTCTCAGGGTGGTGGAACTATGCAACTTCGATGCGGTCGGATAAGGAGAGGAAGCGACGACCACGATGTTCGAAGCGTCGTCGCTGAAGATGTAGGAGGGACTGGCATGTATGAAGTCCAAGACAACACGCCAGAAAACGCCAGGCAGGAGAGAAGAAATCGGCCTCGGAAAAGAAAAGTCTCCTGGGAAGACATCATCTACGGCAAGGGAACTCGTTGGAAGAAAGGGCGTGTTGTGTGGGCGTGACGTGAAAGAAGGCGGGGCAGGCGGAAAAAGGTGAGGAAAGGAGAGCAGACATCTCAAGTATTGCTGATGATGACTCTGGCGCCTTCTTTACCCAACACACCCCTCTCTTTCGCCTTGGGACTCCTGTCCCGGCCCTTTTTGCGACTGAGGAAGCCGAGCATTCCGGAGGGTTTCTCAGCTTGGGCATCTTTCTGTACGAGGGCGGAACTTTGGTTAGCCATCTCAGTCCAAGAACCGGTCTCGTTGAGAACTACCTGTACGCCTCCGCTGGTGCTGATGCTGCGTTGCGAGCCTCGCTGGCGGTTGTTCATCGGGCGGGAGAAGGAGGGGGTGGGGACTTCGGAGCCGTCGTTGGGGAAATAGTCGACGTGCTCGCCACGTTGCGAGGTGGGTGAGCCGGTGTTGGCGGTCTGGTTCAGTATGTTGGTTGCAAGGGGAGGGCTGCCGTTGGGAGATTGCGTCGATCGGCCAGTAGCGGCGGAGCGTGTGGGATGGAGTTCTGCGTCCTGGGGATTGTTCGCAACTGGGCGACCCCAGGGATCTACTGACGGTGTGGGAGGTTGATCCGGTGCGCTTTGGTTGCTCGTCCTTGAGCCGCCGACAGAATCTTGAGGATCTACGACTGCGACCGCGGCAGGCGTTCGTTGGTCACCAGCGGTGGTGTAGTTGAAGGGCTCGAAAAGGGTCTCAATCATCCTGTGCAGCTCTTCAGCCCTGATCTCCTGCTCGGTCGCATCGTCCTTGAGCGCCTCTCTAGGCTTCTGTCTCCGCGCTCTTGCCTCAAGCGGTGCTTCTTCCAACAACAGCTCCTCCAGGTCGTAGGTGGCATCGAAGTTGGTCTTGTCGCTCGACGGGATAAAGACGGGCGGGATTTCTTTGCGCTCTAACGCGATGAAATCGATGGGACGGAAGAAGGGATTGTCTGTGAAGGACTCGAATCCGATGGCGCCGATGCGCTTTGTCCTGTTCTTCTCCAAAAGCGAGCTGATGGCATGTAGACAGGGCATGGATACGGGGGGACTGGTAACGGGGTATGTGGGCTCTCCCTTGGAGATCTTGGCGGCGAGAGAGTCGTGGCTGCTAGCCTCGAAGGGTCGCTTGTTGTAGATGCACTCGTAGAAGAGCACGCCCAGTGACCACCAGTCGACTTCGCATGAGTATCCTTTGCCTTCGTAGACCTCGGGCGCGAGATAGGCGAGCGTGCCGGACTTGCTTGTCAGCGGCTTGGTGGGGACAAAATCGGAAGCGACGTTCTGGGTATGTTAGTGATGGCCGCAGACATGATGAGGACCGAGCTTACGAAATCTGCCAGATGGACGTGACCTTCGGAATCCAACAGCACGTTGTCTGGCTTGATATCCCTGTGTACGATGCCCTGCTGGTGGATGTAGCGCACGGCGCAGCCTAGCTGGGCTATCCAGAAGCGCACAGCCTCCTCTGTAAATGTCTTTCGCGAGATGTGGAAGCGCAGGTCACCGCCATTCATTAGATCGACCACGATATATCTGCTCTTGTCAGCCGCGTGCTAACTCATCGCTGGGAGGTATGACGTACAGGTATTCGATGTCCTGGAAGCTGTAGCGCAAGTTGCAGAGGAAGGGGTGGTTCAGGTGCTCGAGCATGCGCCGCTCGCGAATGATGTTGCGGACGCTTTCCGAGCGTACGACTGTGGCACGACGTCAGCTCGAGTAGTGCTGGGATGATGCACAGGGCATGGAGACGAACCTTCATCTTTGCGTATGTACTTGAGCGCAAAGGTGAGACCCGTGTCTTTGCGCTCGACAATGCGCACCTTGCCGAATGCGCCCTTGCCGACGACTCGCAGCAGCCGGAAGTGGTTGAGGTTTACTGATGGTGTTAGTCTGATAGTCCATGCCGGATGTCCTTATCTTCTGTATGTCTAGGACGCACCTTGGTCGGTAAAGACGACGGGCTTGCCGTTGCTCTGACCCATTGGATGCTTCTATGGCAGACTGCCTGGAGGTGGGAATGCGTGTCTAGTAATGCATCAGGCGACTGGGAAAGCTGGCCGGGGGGATCGGGTGGGGACGGGGCCGTGGTTGCGGGCGGCGGTGGGCAGGATGGCAGGCTTGGGCGGGCGGGTAGTCGGGGATTATTAAGGCAGAAGCAACAGGTCGAGGACTCGTGATGGCAGTGAGCAGCACGTCGAAAGGAGGGCCCGACAGGATTGAAGAGGCACGTTTCGCAGGCGTGGCCCTTAGCGTCGGCAGGAACTAGCATGGGTAACACGTTTGAGTCGCATCCTTGCTTTCACACGAGTGGCCATCAAAGGCGACCGAACCCCCCCAGAGCTAAGCGTCGACGCTCCCTAGAGTCATGGCGTGCCAGCCACACCACAACGCCTGACCGCACGATAATCGAGCGCCATAGCATGTCTAGATTTAGGGTTGGCCTTATTGGGGTACAGCTGCAGCACGCAACAATCCCCCCGTCTGCCATGTGCAGTCCACCTGTCTCCCACGCGGAGCTGTCACGGGACGGGTACTCTATCTGAGCCCAAGGTTTCCGGGGTGGAGCGAGACGGAAGTCGTCGTCTTGCTCTGCTCCCGTCTGATCTGCACTACCTAGCTAAGCTCGGACATGTGCTGAAACACATCTTCAACCACAAGGACGCTGCGCAGTCATAGCACGCGATGCATTTGTCCGGCGTTCGTGACAATTTCCTTCTGCAACCATCACGTCGACGCTGGCAGCAAAGGCCCTCTCGCCGATGTTAGCCTGTCTACAGCCTTCATCGTCGTTGACAGACCCCAGAGAGCCCTCGCGGAGCCGGCGCCGATTGGCGTCTCCTAGTTTCTTCTTTCTAGACCCGCTTTCTTCTACTAGGTAACAACGTAGAACCGTGCCACGGGCGACCACCTCTGCCTCCAGCCAGCTGCGGGTACTCAAGCCGCCGAGTCCACTCCACGTCAAGCGGAATTGCTTTGGCATCCTTCGCGCAGCCTCGACGAAAAGTCCAAGAGAACAAACAGTCGCCAAGATGATCAGATATGTGCACCCTAGCAATGCAGGCGGGGAGAGCAGGAGCCAGTGCTCACATGCAGACCTCGACGAAGAGCGGCGGCGCATTGTATAAACTTTCAAATCTCTCCTCTATGCCCTAGGCTTAATAGTCTTGGCGGCCCCTCGCGCCTTCTCCGGGACTAACTCTCACTTCTCACTCCTCGCGACGAACACCACGGCCTCATTGTCATGGCATTCTTGTTCTCGGGACCTTCTGAGTCGACATGCATAAATCCCTGTCCACCACCGCTCCGGCCCGAACAGTTCCTCCCACTGACATAATGTTGCACGACACCTCATCAACCGTGGGCACAGACAATAGACCCTTTCGCGGATGCACTCCGCTGCAGTTGCACGTGTCTGTTCGCGTGCACGTAGGGACAAAGTTTCGGCTGACTACACCCACACCAGGCTAAAGAGGTCGCGTTCTAGAAGACTTCCGCTTCCTCCGAACGTGCAGCAATGTGGACACAACCACGCGGCTACTGCGTGCTTCATGCAGCCAGGTGGGTTTCTTCAGCCTCGTCAGTACCTATTGCTGCAGTGCGCCCACCCTAGTGCTCTCTCCAAATCACCTTTGGATCCGGCTACAGTTGTGGCTCATTTCCCTAGACGCATACACCTCGTGTCGGTACCTTAATGCCAGGGCAACCCTTCGAACGCCCATCCTGCTTGCATGCGGCACAGCAAACTCCTGACGCAGCCCCCTATGCGTTGGCAGCCAATCTTCGAGCAACGGTACTCTATCCACAGCTTCCCCGTTCCCAAGGCCTTGTTGCTGGTTTCGCACCCGCGAAGCAGTCCAATGTCTGTCCAGTCAGTGGTGTTACGGCTATCGATCGCTGCTATCCAGTGTCTTGGGATCCAGCCCTACAGAAATGCGCTCGGGCGGCACAACCAACTCGAATACTACGAACATCAGGATCACGATGAGCTACCTCCTCTGCGACTCTCGCTTAATACAAGGATCCATTAATCTGCAACAGGCGGGCGTCAAGAGCCCCTTGGTGGTCCTCCGTTGCCTTCATTGGCTGGACCTACATCCCGCAATGCTGACTACCGAATGCATCACATCCGGAAACTCCAGTCTCGTACTAGCGCTATTATGCATCTGAGGACCACCCACAGGATGTGAAGCACTTATCTTCGACATTCCAGCTGAGCTCGCCCTGCGAGCAGTGCTTTTGCCTATTCTTAGCGCCATCGGGACCAGAGCCTGTTTGCACAGACTACATATAAGAGTGTGTGGCGTTTGAATAACGTGCTGCGCAGAGTGGTCCTGCAATGCCTGGACTCATGCTGCGGAGAAGATGCTGAAAGCCTTCTCTCCAGAAACAAATTGGGGGAGTCGATTATGTCGCCATTAACGTGGCTGAAAAGCCTGACGAAAACTGTCTTCACATCCCTACATCGCTTAGGTGCAATACCTCCACTTCATGCACGTAAGCTATGGATATCCCAGCACGCACGAGTTTGGGGTGTGCAGATGATTTCTTGTACCACGATAGTATGCGTGGTCCAGGACGGGAAAACTCGTGCTGATCGCTGTATTGACGGGCAAAAGAATCGATGATTGTGGCTTGCATGTACCCCGGAAAACTGCCAGAAAAAAGTCAAGGCCGGTATTGATGAGATGATCGCCCATACCCTGTCCATATTCTCATAAGTGGAGCACACCGCCAACGTGATCACGAGTACACCATGCAAGGGAAAGATTGGACAGATATCTGCAGCTTGCACCGGGGTGGAGCATGTAGATCAAGGAATTAACGTAGGCTTCTACAGTCTATCATACCAGGTGATTAGTCTTCCCCTTGAATAGGGAGTGATCTATTCTCGTCCCGACTACGATCCGCCAGCATACTGCATCGCACTTTGAGCAATACATCGAGGTCAAAAGGGTCTTCAACAAGGTACTGTAAACAACAATGTGCAATGACCTTGGTAACCTTATGACAGTCATAGGGCACCTAAGACACATCTGCACTCCAACGGTGGGTGGAAAAACCAGGACGACGTACCCATAGGGGCCGATCGTTTCTTAGACAATAGCACGGACACATTGGCAGATGGTTGGCCCCTCAGAAAGTCCAGGCAATCTCCCTCACTAAGCCTATCTGTACGATGAGAGAGTAGGATGAACGAATCATCGTCGACCAAGACTTGAGCAAGAAAAGATTAGTTGATAAACGACAAAGCTCCACCTCTCCTGACCCATACTCAATGAGTAAAAGGTCAAGTACCAACGATACGCAGCTTTACCTCATAGTTCACGACTTAAGGGTTCCTGTGTCACAATAAGTAGTCTACAAGTGATTTCAACCCCCTAGAACTCATGTCGTAGAGTAAGTGTGGGACTGACATTACCTACATGTCGCATCGATGGTATTCAGCGGAAAAGTATCGGCCTGCAGAAATACCCAACGAATACAAAGAAGGAAATAACAACAACGAGGAAGAGCAAGCTAGCGATGGTTTCAAGGATAGCGTTTGATGCATCGAGGGCAGGAGTGGCGTCTCGGTTCTGCGCAGGCATTGTCGTCTTGCAGCCGAGATGCAGTGGTGCAGGCAGAGGAAGACGGAACAAGTGATGCGATGTGAACGAGGGCCCAGACCCAGACTCAGGCAGCAACCACCATGATCAACTCATCAGCCCACCAATGTACACACCCAAAGTCTCTCGCGAAAAGACTTCAAGTTCGAGCGCAAAGCCCACAAGACTCAGGCAGCAGGCAGCATGGTTGCTTTGTGTGCCCACGAACAGGCCAACGGTGCCGTTGGTTGTTCTACGGCATATGTGTGCAGAAGATGAGGGAGGGAATAGGTGGTGTTCTTTTTCACAGCCTGGGGCACTCTTGCTACTCAGCCAGTCACTTGACTGGCTTCTGGTCTCGAACACTCTCCATGCGAGAACGGACGCACTGTAGACTTGGGATAGTGGTGTGTAGCGAGCGCAGTCGGATCTGCATGGACCCGCGTAGACTCAGATACTACCCGCATCTCCGCTGCGAAGAGCGTGAGTCTATGGGGGGCGAAGGAGGGCGGTGGCGATTCACCGTGTTTTGAACGGAGTGTGAAGGCATTGTGCCAGGTCTATTCGCTTGCTCGTATACGGGGTTTATGTCCACCACAACACGGCTTTCGCTGATCTCATGGAAGCTATCTTGATGTGACTTCTACCGAACAGAATGCAGCCTCACTCATGCACGTCACAAAAAGAGAAGTATGTTCTATGCAGGTGTCGACATCCTCCAGTCGAGGCATCATCGACATCAAGTCCCACTAGATCTCACTCGTTCTGGCGATCGAACAGGAAGGAGGCAGAATGAGGGCGAAGAAGAAAGACACATAACCACAACCACAACCACCCGGGTTATCATCGGGTAAACCCCCAACACTCCACATACTCTCAGCCCTAGCTAGCCCAATATCAGCCAACTGTGCGGCACGTGCCGTGCATGGCGATCTGCCGATTCCCAACCATGAAAGTATTGGACGGAAGAATACTTCCTCGAGCGCCCCAGTGGCGATTCTAGAAGAAGCTGAAGGTGTCGTGCATGAAGGATATCGTAGATCGGGTGCTGATCGACGGGCACCCATGGAGACTGCCTTTGCTTTTTTAAGGCAGCATACTATGAGTTTGGTGTAGCTTCGCAAAAGCAAGGGTTTGACTATACTCTGGGGATAAGTGTTTTGGTGTTGTTGATGTCTAGTGTAGCGTTGTAGTACGGGCTGCTGTGCGAGATGCCATGTGGTGTGTGAGTAACATGGATGAACCTGTGGATAGCTACAGAAGTCTGCTTACGATAAGCTATACATGCTGATCCTCGCAATATCCACAGTGACTTTAGGCGCACCAAATTTGATGCTGTATGTAGCTTTCCGTGCTTGTGGGGAACACGAGGTTCGGGTAGTACGGCGCGTGCGGAC